CCCAGATTCAAGCAATTCTCCTGCCTCACCCCCTTGAGTAGCTAAGATTAGAGGCATGCGCCACCACACCAGCTAATTTTGTATTTTTAGTAGAGATGGGTTTCTCCATGTTGGTCAAGCTGGTATTCAACTCCTGATCTCAGGTGATCCGCCCACCTCAGCCTCCCAATCCTTTCTTTTTTCTTTAACCTTCATCTCTTTCCTCCCTTCCCTCTTTTGGAGTCTCCAGTGTCCAGCATTTCTCTCTTTATGTACATGTATCCTCACTGTTTAGCTCCCACATACAAGTATTTTAGAAAACAGCTGGGCAATCTGTCAAAATGTTAAACACACAACTACCACATAATCCCTATCCATTCCTTACCTATTTAGCCAAAAGAAAAGAAACCTTCTTATATACAAATGTTTGCAGCAATTTTCATTGCAATAGCAAAAACTGTAAGCATGCCATATGCCTGTCAATAGATGAATGCATAAACAAATTGTGGCACATACATGCAATGGAATACCACTCAGCAATTAAAGGAATACTACTGATACGTACAGTATTTTTGCTGAGTGAAAAAAAGTCAGATCCATAAAAGTACATATTATATGATTTTCATTTGTGTAAAATTCCAGAACACGCAAACTTATCAATTTTTTTCTCTTTTCCATTCCTCTTATCTCTGAAGCAAACTTATCTATCATGACAGAAAGTAGATCAGTAGTTGCCTGAGAAGACAAGTAGAGAGAGGAATTACCAAGAGACACAAGAAAACTTTTGGGGGTGACAGATACATTCACTAACTTGGCTACAATTATAGTCTCACAAGAGCATATATATGTCAAAACTGTACACTTGGCCAGGTGCGGTGACTGACACCTGTAATCCCAGCACTTTGGGAGGCTGAGGCGGGTGGATCACCTGAGGTCAGGAGTTTGAGACCAGTCTGACCAACATGGTGAAACCCTGTCTCTACTAAAAATACAAAATTAGCCAGGCATGGTGTTGCATGCCTGTAATCCCAGCTACTTGGAATGCTGAGGCAGAAAAATCACTTGAACCTGGGAGTTGGAGGTTGCAGTAAGCCGAGATTGCGTCATTGCACTCCAGGTTGGGCAACAAGAGCAAAACTCCGTCTCAAAAAACAAAACAAAACAAAAAACTGTACACTTTAAATATGTGTAGTTTATTGTATGTCAATTATACCTAATTAAAAAAATGACTGGCTTGAAAATAAGTAGGCAGGCAATTAGTATGTGCTGAATGAATTAACAAATGATCAGTGCATTCAGGAACCAAGACAGCCCTAGAAAGAAAGGTCAGAACCAAATCTGGACAGTCTAAACACAAGGCTAACATTCTTGGACTTCATCCTTTATGTAATAAATTTCTGAGGCTTCTTAGAAGAAAAAAGTGACATCAGTGAAAAACATTAATACAGTAGCAGGACAGAAATTGGACTGGAGAAAAGGAAACACTCAAACCTTAGAGATCAGATATAAAGTAATTATAATAATCTAAGCATGTGGAAACCAGTATACCTCTCTATTAGGATGGTAAAGATAAAAATAGAAAGGTAAGACAAATATAAGTGACACTGGGAAATAATAACTAACTGTACTTAAAAATCATTGGTATAGGCTAGGCATTGTGGCTCATGCCTGTAATCCCATCACTTTGGGAGGTCAAGGTGGGTGGATCTGTTGAGGTCAGGAGTTCGAGACCAGCCTGGGTAACACAGTGAAACCGCATCTCGACAAAAAAGAAAAAAATAATACAAAAATTAGCTGGGCATGGTGGAATGCACCTGTACTCCCAGCTACTCGAGAGGCTGAGGCAGGAGAATAGCTAGAACTTAGGAGACAGAGGTGGCAGTGACCTGAGAACACACCACTGCACTTTAGCCTGGGCAACAGAACGAGACTCCAACTCAAAAAAAATTAAAAATTAAAAATTCATTGATATAAAGTTTCCAGTTTGAGTGATTGGCAGAATAGAATTAAAAAAATGAACTTTGGCCGGGTGCAGTGGCTCAAGCCTGTTAATCCCAGCACTTTGGGAAGCCGAGGTGGGTGGATCACGAGGTCAAGAGATCGAGACCATCCTGGTCAACATGGTGAAACCCCGTCTCTACTAAAAATACAAAAAATTAGCTGGGCATGGTGGCGTGTGCCTGTAATCCCAGCTACTCAGGAGGCTGAGGCACGGAATTGCCTGAACCCAGGAGGCAGAGGTTGCGGTGAGCCGAAATTGCGCCATTGCACTCCAGCCTGGGTAATAAGAGTGAAACTCCGTCTCAAAAAAAAAAAAAAATGAACTTAGAGTTGGTTTGAGAAGATGATATGAACAGATCTTGAACAAAGTTCGAGATGCTAGAAGGACAACAAGATAAGACATCCAAAAATCTGTGCTGAAGGAACAAATTTAGGAGCAGATCAAGATGATATATAAATATCTATGTATAAATACACATCGATGTATAAATATACATCGAGATGATAGCTAAAGCTGCTAAGTAAATCAAATTTCCCAAAGTAGATGAATATTCCCAGAAACCTCAGAAGAGAGAACAGCAACAAGATCTTAAGAAATTAAGAAATAAATGCATGGGGCAGGAGGAAGAAGATGTAATAATGAAAAAATACAGAATCAATGAGGCCTACAACCAGAGACCATAAGCATATGGGACCTTCATCAAAAGAAATAAGCCCAGTTCAACCATTGTAGAAGACAGTGTGGCTATTCCTCAGGACCTAGAAATAGAAATTCCATTTGATTTAGCAATTCCATTACTGGGTACATATCCAAAGGATTATAAATTGTTGTATTATAAAGACACATGCACATATATGTTCATTGCAGCACTGTTTACAATAGCAAAGACTTGGAACCAACCCAAATGTCCATCGATGATGGACGGGACAAGGAAAATGTGGTACATATACACCATGGAATACTATGCAGCCATAAAAAACTATGAGTTCGCGTCCTTTGTAGGGACATGGATGAATCTGGAAACCATCATTCTCAGCAAACTGATACAAGAACAGAAAATCAAACACCACATGTTCTCACTCACAGGCAGGTGTTGAACATGAGAACACATGGACACAGGGAGGGAAGCAACACACACTGGGGTCTGTTGCGGGGGGACTAAGGTAGGGAAAGCAGGAGGAGGGAGGTTGGGGAGGAATGCCAGATATAGGTGACGGTGGGGATGGAGGCAGCAAACCACATTGCCATGTATGTACCTATGCAACAGTCCTGCATGATCTGCACATGTACCCCAGAATCTAAAGTACAATTTAAAAAATATATATACATATAAATATATATATATATATAAAATAAAAAAGAAATAAGCCCAGATCCAGACTCTACCACTTAATTAACTATAGTGATGGAGGCCAATTACTTCATTTCTCTATCATCAGTTTCACTGTTTATAAAACATAGATAAGTGTTAATGTGTATTAGTAGCTTTAACAACTAAAATAACACCTTACAAGTAGATACAGTATTTTATAACTTCTGAATTACTTTTTAATTTATCTAATTTAGTGCCATAACCACCCTGTGAAGCAAATCTTGTCTGAATTCTACAGTTGAGGAAACAAGGCTAAGAAAGATTGGAGCTCTTAATTTTAGGAGTATGAGAACATCATATTTAACTTGGTCTTCTGCACATGGTACAGTGATAAAGAAAAGGCTATAGAGGCAGTCTTATTGGGTTCAAATCCAGTACCACCAATTATGATTTGTGTGACTAGAAAAAAATTATTTAAGTGCTACAGATACTACTCTTGACAAAGGCATATTTAACTTCCTTAGGCAAGAATAAGGGAACAGATTTTTTTTTTTTTTTTTGAGATGGAGTTGCACTGTTGTCAGGCTGGATGCAGTGGCCTGATCTCAGCTGACTGCAACCTCTGCCTTCCAGGTACAAGCAATTCTTCTGTCTCAGCCTCCTGAGTAGCTGGGACTACAGGTCATGCCACCAAGCCCAGCTAATTTTTGTATTTTTAGTAGCAACAGGGCTTTACCATATATGTCAGGCTGGTCTCAAACTCCTGACCTCAGGTGATCCACCCACCTCAGCCTCCCAAAGTGTTGGGATTATAGGCATGAGCCATTGCGCCCAGCCAAAACAGAAAGTTTGAGGTGAAGAGCATGTGACCTCTGATTTTCTCAAGAAAAGAAATAAATAATCGAAGAGGAATGTGAACAGAGCAGTTTTCAACTGTGCTCTGTAGATGTGGTAGTGGACTCTGCCACGTACAACCAAAATCTTGGAGCTCCTCATAATGGTTTGAGTTCACCTACATTCAAGTTTTGTTGTTGTTGTGGTTGTTGTTTTTTCAGACAGAGTCTCCTCTGTTGCCCAGGCTGGAGCACAGTGGCATGACCTCAGCTCACTGTAACCTCTGCCTTCTCTGCGTTCAAGTGATTTTCCTGCCTCAGTCTCCTGAGTAGCTGGCATTACAAGCGCACGCCACCACGCCAGGTTAAATTTTGTATTTTTAGTAGACACACGGGTTCACCATGTTGGTCAGGCTGGTCTCGAACTTCTGACCTCATGATCCACCCACCTCGGCCTCCCAAAGTGCTGGGATTACAGGTGTGAGCCACCTAGCCCAGCCAACATTCAAGTTTTAAAGCCACTAGATTATATTCATCTCTGCGGTGTCTTGTAACTAGGATTATCCACTTTTTCTCTATCTTACTCATCAAACACATAAAACTAGTCCTCTTCTGAGCCCCACAACACTTTTTTAGTGCCTCTTTATGATACCACCCATTCTTCAACATAAACATTCTAAACTCCATTCCCTATTAGATTTAAGCTCCTTCAAGGCAGGCAATTTGTCATTTATCTTAGTGTTCCTCAATCCCAGGCACAATGCAAGCAAGCACTTTAAGGCAAAAAATGTAAAATAAAAAGATAAAGAAAATGGTTAATCCTTACAATATATACTATATATACTAACCATATGTAAAAAGAAACACAACTTACCCTAATACAGCTGAAACAACACAGCTTGGAGCAATGAGGACACAGGCGTGCATCCCGCAATTTCTCCATACAAATGAAACATCGGAAAACCTCAGCAATGCTCTGAAAACAGTGAAAGATGAAAGGTCCACCAGATTAGGCTACTGAATCGAGTGTAAAAGGCAAGCTAAAAACAATTCACTTGGCATTTACATTTATTTTGGGTTGATAATATCTCAATTTTAATTATATTACATATCAGGATTTGACTGGTCAAGGTCCAGAGTATCTCAAAATATCTGGAAAATATACTCTCATTTTTTTAAGCTTCGTGATATTTCTATTCTAAGGAAAACATGAAATGCAAACACAGACTTATGCACAAAAACTTTTAATGAAGCAGTAATTATAATGGCAAGAATCTAGATACAGCCCAAATATTAAGTAAATTACACATAGATTACAGTCACTAGAAACAGTTTTTCATTTAATGACACGAAAATATGCATATAATGTACAACAGCAAGAAAAAAGGGCTGGGTGTGGTGGCTCACACCTGTAATCCCAGCACTTTGGGAGGCTGAAGTGGGTGGACCACTTGAGGTCAGGAGTTCAAGAACAGCCTGGCCAACAGGGTGAAACCCTGCCTCTACTCAAAATACAAAAATTAACTAATTTGAGCTACTTGTAAGGCTGAGGCAGGAGGAGCACATGAACCTAGGAGGCAGAGGTTGCAGTGAGCTGAAATCATGCTGCTACACTCCAGCCTGGGTGACAGAGCAAGACTGTCTCAAAAAAAAAAAAAGGGCAGACTATATGACTGAATACACAACATGAACTTTTTTTTTTTTAATTATACTTTAAATTCTGGGGTACTTGTGCAGAACTTGCAGGATTGTTGCATAGGTACACACATGCCATGGTGGTTTGCTGCCTCCATCCCCCTTACCAATCACCTACATCAGGCATTTCTCCCAATGTTATCCCTCCCTAACCTCCCCCGACATCCCTCACCTAGTCCCCCACCCAACAAACCCCAGTGTGTGACATTCTCCCTGTGTCCAACATGAACGTTTATCTGCAATTTCTCCAAAAGGTATAAACTGATTTTATAATTTAGAGGAAAAAGAAGATTAAAAAGACAGCCTCTGAGCAAAAGTGTGTTAAAAACAAACAAAACAAAAAACACAACAACAAAAAACACTTAATCCTAATGGCAGTTTAATGTGACCCAGAGAAAAATGAATTCAGAATCCAGAAATCTGAATTGCTGCCCTGATGTTACAACCAACTAGTTACTTATTTGAACCTGAGATACCGACCCAATTGATGGTAGTTCAATGAGATCCTGGAAACAACAACAAAAGTATGTAAATAGAAAAAACAGTATTATCTTTGCAAGCCTGTTTAATCAAGTTAGGAAGTAACTGAAAAGTTTCTAACAAGAAAAAAGATATAATTAAATTCATTGTTATTGTAAACTCCTAAAACCAAGATAAGTTTACAAAACCTTTATAATACTTTACATGAGGAATTAAGGAGAAAATTATTCATGAACCTAATTTTTTTTTTTTTTGAGACGGAGCATCACTCTGTCGCCTGGAGTACAGTGGCGCAATCTGAGCTCACTGCAACCTCCACCTCCCGGGTTGAAGCGATTCTCCTGCCTCAGCCTCCCGAGTAGCTGGGACTACAGGCGCACACCACCACATCCGGCTAAATTTTGTATTTTTAGAAGATGGGGTTTCACCATTGTTGGCCAGGATGGTCTCGATATCTTGACCTCGTGATCCACCCGCCTCGCCTCCCAAAGTGCTGGAATTACCGGCGTGAGCCACTGCACCTGGCTAATGAATCTAATCTTGACTCTGCAGGGCCAGAAAGCACCTGGGAGATGCAGACTCTGTAATCTCCAACCGGGTGGATAAGACTACTGAATGATTAGTTTCAAGTGGAATATCCATAACATAGTTACCCTATACTAAAAAGCAAGTATTTCCTATTTCAGTACCTGAAAGGTTCAAAATTTGACAATGACTATATAATTATGTCCAATAAACAATCTTTTAAAATATATTCCTACCCTTTACTTACATATCCCAACTACTTTAACTCACAGCTTACAAGAATCTGTTATAAAAAGAAGAGTTTGTTCTGGAAACTACACATGAGAAAGTATTACGTGCTGATTCAATCTACGAAGAGCAGAAGCATGCAAAATGTGCCACTGAGAGGTAAAGATTATCCAACTGGAAAGAGATTTAGAGCAGATCAAGAACTCGCAAGGATTGGTGATGAGTTCATCACCAAGGGTACGTCCATCTGATGAATCTGCAGTTTTGCTCCTAACAGGCTGTAGTTTGCAAATACCCAGTGGGAATAAGTACCTGTGCCTAGACATCCTTGAAAACTCCAGAATATGCACCACCTGACTATGGAACAGTGACCCCAGGACACCTGGAGGGCTGCAAAATGAGCACGGCGTCCTTGGTACTGGGCCAGCCCTCTCCACAGCCGCAGGGGCGGGGTAGGGAGTGCCCTACTGGAGGGAAGACACGGGCACCGCTCCCCGAATACAGACCGCTCATCGAGTGGGGGTGGGGACTAACCACCACCCTCACAACCCCTCACCTCCACGCTCTGTTCATCCATTGCCTCCGGCTCTCTGCGGGGCCGTCGGCGACCCGCGGACTCCGTAGTTTGACCTCTTAGGCGCCGGCCCGAGGTCGCCAGATCAAATCACCGAGAAAAGCAAGGCGCCCACGTCAGGGGGTTCCGACAACCGCCCCACCTTCGCGCCCCATCGCTTCAGGTCCGGCGCCGACTACCCCCATTTCGCCATTTTTACCCGTGCGCCCACCCCGGGGCGCAGAGGTAGGGCGAGCGGCGGCCGCAGATCTTTCCTCCCGGCTGAGCCGCCGGCCAGCAGCCGCGAGGGAACCTCGGCCCACGTGACGCGGCCGCGCGCGTCTGGAATCGCTGGAGTTGGGCGAAGAAGGCACCGCAGAGAATTAGCAAACACCAACGGTAACCAGGGCAGCTGGGGGTGCGCCGGCGAGGGAAGGCGCGAAGCGCATGCGCTCAGGACGCTGCGGGAGGGGAGGAGCGGGGAAGGTTCGCGTAGTTCCCGCGTTGCAGAACGCACACGAGACTTGGCGGTTAGCTTCCTCCGCGTTGCGTGCCTCAGGTCCCAGCCGGCGCCGGTGGCCCGAGCGCGGGGCTCCGCTACGCCACGCCCACCTCGGCGGAGGGCGGGGCCTCACGGCTCTCAAAATTGCGCGCGGAAGACCGAGCTAGGTATTCCAACTCTGAGATTCTAGGTTGGAGCCCGGGCTGTCCGCATTTTCACCCACCACTGTGTGATTCAGCCGCAGGTGGTCTGTGACCCCGACTTTTGAGAAACCCTGGTGCAGAGGGTTCGAAGTTAGTGGTTCTCTGTCGAATAAAGAGTCTAAGATTTGTAGGATTTGCGTTCCACCTACCAAGGCAAATGAAATTAGAAAGCTCCAGACTGTGAAGCCTGGAGAGGTGTCATTTCTCATTTCGGTGGTGACAGGACGGGACCACACACTGTGAAGGCTTCATTCCCACATCCCACCCTTTATTCTTGCCGCCTTAGTTATCGCTGTGGGACTCCTGAAAGGGCAAAGGGTATCAGCGGTATTCTTTTTCCCATAAATAGGATCTGTCTTCTACAATTTCCTGCCAGAAGAAATACGTAAAGTCTGCAAAAATTGAAAAGGTGCCTGAGTCAAAGAGGGCACATCAAATTCATACTTTGAATTTAATTTTCGTGTATTTATTGCAAACAAATAATTATACTTAACCGACCTAGAGTGCTCAGGTAGAGACTCATCAATAATTTAGAAATAAGTTCTTGAATATCAGGCATTTAGGCTTATAGGTGGTGGGCAGCAACAATCTTCTTTTTAACTACTTGAGTCATGAACAAGATTAAAATTTAGAGATTAATCTGAGGGCCGGGCACTGTGGCTAACGCCTGTAATCCCAGCATTTTGAGAGGCCGAGGCGGGCAGATCGCCTAAGGTCGGGAGTTGGAGACCAGCCTGACCAACGTGGAGAAACAAAATAGAAAATTAGCCGGGCGTGATGGCGCATGCCTGTAATCCCAGCTACTCCGGAGGCTGAGGCAGGAGAATTGATTGAACTCGGGAGGTGGAGGTTGCGGTGAGCCAACCTGGGCAACAAGAGCGAAACTCCGTCTCAAAAAAAAAGATTACTGTGAGACTGAAAAATGCTTTGAGTAAGAACTTTTTGTGATCTTTGAAGTACATGGAGGTGATGGTTGCATAACGCTATTTTTACTAAAATGCCCTCAGTTGTGCATTTTATTCACTTATTTTGAGACGGAGTCTCGCTCTGTCACCAGGTGGAGTTCACTGGCACGATCTGGGCTCACTGCAATCCCCGCCTCCTGGGTTCAAGCGATTCTCCTGCCTCAGCCTCCCGAGTAGCTGGGACTACAGGTGCGCACCACCACGCCCAGCTAATTTTTGCCTTTTTAGTAGAGACAGTTGTTCACCATGTTGGCCAGGATGGTCTTGATCTCTTGATCTTGCAAACCGCCCACCTCAGCCTCTCAAAGTGCTGGGATTACAGGCCTGTGCCACCGCGCCCGCCAGCTGTACGTTTTAAAATGGTTGATGGTTAATTTTGTTATTAGAATTTTACTTAAAAGAATTATTTATAGAATGCAGTGCTGTACTTGGGATTCAGAGTAATGAGAAATGGGCCTTGCTCTCAAGGAGCAGTATAGAAGACAAGACAAATTGCAATACCTGTATGATAAACAGTAAAATAGATTATTGTATGTTTGCAGAAGAACCCAAAAATGTTGAAGGATTTATTGCACTAGTTCATAATAGTGAACAATTAGAAACCTGTACAACTGATTAAAGGCCGCTGGTTGCAAGCAAAAAGGATAACCTGAGCAAAATAATTTAGTTGGCAAAATGCTAAGCTCACATTCTTTGCCAAGCCCTGGGGTTTGGGAGCCAATTGTCTGCTCCATCAGAATCCCTTAAAAGCTGACCTTGCTGCCCTCCCCGCAAGAAAAATCTTCTAACTTGATATGATATCCTTAAACAACTTGCCATTATACAAGTTACTTGTTATATTATTTGTACAACTTGCTGTTATAGAGCTTAAATGTCTATCAATAAGGAACTGATAAAAATGATGATATATCAGCTGGGTGCAGTGGCTCATACCTGTAATCCCAGCACTTTGGGAGGCGGATCATCTGAGGTTGAGAGTTCAAGACCACTCTGACTAACATGGAGAAACCCAATCTCTACTAAAAATACAAAAAATTATCCAGGGATGGTGGTGTATGCCTATAATCCCAACTACTTGGAGGCTGAGGCAGGAGAATCACTTGAACTCAGGAGATGGAGGTTATGGTAGCCAAGATGGTGCCATTGCATGCACTCCAGCCTTGACAACAGAGCCAGATACTGTCTCAAAAAAAAAAAAAAAAGTAAGGTATATCCCTATAGTGGATTACATCTGTTATAAAAATAAGGGTAGATGTGTGACATAACAAAAAGATATTAGAATTGAAGAGCGGGCACAGTGATTCATGTATCCCAGCACTATGGGAAGCTGAGGCTAGCAGATCTCTTGATTCCAGGAGTTGGAGGCCAACCTGGACAACATGATGAAACCCAGTCTCTACAAAATATACAAAAATTAGCTAGGGTTGGTAGCATGTACCTGTGGTCCCAGAAGCTACTTGGGAGGCTAAGGCCAGAGGATTGCTTGAGCCCTGGAGGCTGCAGTGAGCCATGATAGCACCACTGCACTCTAGCCTGGGTGACAGAGTGAGAACCTGTCTCAAATAAAACAATGAAATGAAAAAAAAAAAAAACCTCTAAGTACAGCGCCAGTATAAGGTACACTGTCAAGTACTTTGGTTGAAAAAAAATTGTTTAATTTATATACATGTAGAAATGCCTGAAGAAATTGCTTGCAGATTACCTCGAGAATTGACATGTCTGTGTTTTTTAAATTCTTTTTTTTTTTTTTTGAGACGGAGTTTTGCTCTTGTTACCCAGGCTGGAGTGCAATGGCACGATCTCTGCTCATCGCAACCTCCGCCTCCGGGGTTCAGGCAATTCTCCTGCCTCAGCCTCCCGAGTAGCTGGGACTACAGGCACGAGCCACCACGCCCAGCTAATTTTTTGTATTTTTAGTAGAGACGGGGTTTCACCATGTTGACCAGGATGGTCTTGATCTTTGACCTCGTGATCCACCCACCTTGACCTCCCAAGTTTTTTAAATTCTTAAACATGTATTATCTATAACTTAAGACATAAAAAACACTATAGTCACATAGGAGAAAACAATTATAATCCAGATAAGAAACAAAAGATCTGGCTGGGCACTGTGGCTCATGCCTGTAATCCCAGCTCTTAGGGAGGCAGAGGTGGGAGGATAGCTTGAGCCCAGGAGTTCGAGACCTGCCTGGGCAATATAGCAAGACCATGTTCTCCACAAAAACAAACAAACAAACAACAAAAAGACAAAAAAAAAAAGAAACAAAAGATCTAAATTAAGAAGGCATGAAGATTGTGTGGAGGTTGTATACTATGATCATTTCAGAGACAGAATTGCAGGTTTTATTGACTAAAAAGATAAAGAGATGCAAATTATACAGGTTTTAATTCCAGGTAACAGAATATCCAGGCTATTAACAATAAAATCATCCTCAGGATTCATCTGGAAAAGAAATAAGAAAAAGAAAGAAATAAAAAAAATAAAATCAGTAAGTATTCTGGACATGTTCAATTTCAATATTCAGGTAGGGGATTTTACTGGAAATATGGATCTAGAGCTAATGGAAGAAGTTAAATTTAGAAGTCATTCACAAAGAGGCTTGAGAAACATGACAATGTATTGAGAAGTGCATAGAAAATAATGTTAAGGGGGCTGTGCATAGTGAATAACATTTGGAAGATAACTGAAGGAAATCACAGAAGAAAAATAGTACAATCTAATTTTTCTCCCTAACTGAAAGCAAAACCACTTAATACTATTGTAATAAGTATTGTGACCTCTTCATGATACCATGTTTTCAATCCCAACAATCATCCTTACATCCCAAAGCCATCTCATGACAAGAGCTTTCTAAATACTAATTGCCTGAACACTGAAGAAAATTAATATGATACTAAGGTGTAACTTATTATCTTGTCCTTCCAAACATCCTGACACTCAGAAGTTAAGTGATCTGCACAGAGTCATAGCTAGAATTTAAAACCTGCTACTTACATCTCAGGTATGACTCCGAAGCCCAATCTTCACTACAAAACTGCAATATCTGCTTCCCCTCTTCTCCACTTAGCATAGTTTCAGCATCTCTCAGAACATTAACAGTAATAATTTATTGGCAACTTGACCTCTTATTGTATACATACAACATAATTTATTTTCCCATTTACCTAGTACTAGCCAAATATGCCATTATGCATGTATACTGCCATTATGAACAAACTTGTGATTAACATCTTTGTATCAAGATCTGCCTCTACTTTGAACAGTTTCCTCATTGCCATTACTTATTTTTAAATAAACAGGGAAATTGACACATACACATAACACACCCAAAACTGGCAAGTAGCAGATAAGTGCTCTTATAATTTCAGTTTCTTAGCTTTCATGTAGAATGAACAATTACAGTAACAAAGGCTGAAAGAAAACAAAGGTATTATTGAAATACAACAGGGACAGTCTAAAGCAACATGAAAAAGCAAGTTCATGTTGCTCAACCTTAACAGGCAAGGGAAATAGGGGAAAAAAAATACACAAAAGTGGCTATCACAGAAAAGCCAGCTTATTACTTTAGGTTTTGTGGGAGACTACAGGTCACATAAAAGCAGTCTCAACAATAATGTGACCACATATGCAATCAACATTTACAAAATGAAATTAGATATAATGTATAATACAAATATTTTTGCCTATATTTTAATTTCCGAAGCATGGAATTCACATATAGAATGACTGAAATGTACATAAACATTCTTTTATGATAGACTAGAACATCTACATTATCATGACTTAGAAAAAGAAAACAGATGCAAAATGGTGTTGAGACTTTCTTGCCTGCAAATACAAGACTCAGTGTGTGTGTGTGTGTGTGTGTGTGCGTGCGCGCGCGTGCACGCGTGCATAGGCTCGTATGCACATATATGTAAATCCTTTTATTCTCATTTGGTCCTTTTGGCTGAACTTTATTCATATATTATTTGCCCTTCTTCTTTTAGTACCTCTCATGAAAGGCATCATTGTTCAGTCACTGAAGCCAAGCCTCCTTCACCAGCCCCCAACCTCTAGTCATCAAGTGTTAACAAGACATCTTCCTAAATTTATCTGGAATTGAGCTCTTCTCTGTTAGAGTTTCCTTTCCAGGTCCATTTCTTCATAAATCTGGCATGTGAGATTTTAATTGGTCTGCCACAGTTTTCTCTTCATCAGTCAATGGTGACAGCTAGAAAATAAACAATAAAATCTTTATTTCGAAAATCTTCAAAGACTATTAAATCAGTTTACTTAACTTCTGCATTGTCACACTAATAAATGTTTCCATAAGCTTATACTTTGTATGTAATCACAGATTTAGAAAGACAAGGGAAAAAACAGATATTTGGCTATTTATATACAGGTCCTATGATATTTGAGCTTCTAAAGAACTTGCAATTAAGTTGAAGAAACAAGACCAAGAAATCAAACAATTTAAGGATTATAGCAGAACCAAAGAAGTCATGTTTGGATGTCATATTCTTTTTTTTTTTTTAATTGCATTTTAGGTTTTGGGGTGGATGCCATATTCTAAAAGTATGGTTGGCTGGGTGCGGTGGCTCATGCCTGTAATCCCAGCACTTTCGGAGGCCAAGGCAGGAGGATCATGAGGTCAAGAGATGGAGACCATCCTGGCCAACATGGTGAAACCTGTAAAAATGCAAAATTAGCTGGGTGTGGTGGTGGATGCCTGTCATCCCAGCTATTAGGGAGGCTGAGGAGGAAAATCGCTTGAACCTGGGAGGTGGAGGCTGCAGTGAGCTGTGATTACACCACTGCACTCAAGCCTGGTGACAGCCTGGTGACAGAGCAAGACTCCATGTCAAAAAAAAAAAAAGAACAAAAGAAAAAAGAGGCCAGGCACGGTGGTTCACACCTGTAATCCTAACACTTTGGGAGGCCAAGGCAGGAATATCACCTGAGGTCAGGAGTTCAAGACCACTCTGGCCAAGATGATAAAACCCTATCTGTACTAAAAATACAAAAATTAGCTGAGCATGGTAGTGGGTGCCTGTAATCCCAGCTACTTGGGAGGCTGAGGCAGGAGAATCGCTTGAACCCAGGAGGTGGAGGCTGCACTGAGCCGAGATTGCACCACTGCACTCTAGCCTGGGCGACAGAGCAAGACTCCATCTCAAAAAATTAAGAAAGAGGCTGGGTGCAGTGGCCCACACCTGTAATCTCAGCACTTTGGGAGGCCAACGCAGGTGGATCACCTGAGGTCAGGAGTTTGACCAGCCTGACCAACATGGTGAAACTTCATCTCTACTAAAAATACAAAAAATTAGCTGGGCATGGTGGCAGGTGCCTGTAATCCTACTTGGGAGGCTGAGGCAGGAGAATTGCTTGAACCTGGGAGGTGGAGGTTGCAGTGAGCCGAGATTACACCATTATCCTCCAGCCTGGGTGACAAGAGCAAAACTCTGTCTCAAAAAAAAAAAAGAAAAGAAAAGAAAAAGAAGGCTGGGTGCGGTGGCTCACACCTGTAATCCCAGCACTTTCGGAGGTCAAGTCAGGCAGCTCACCTGAGGTCCAGCCTGACCAACATGGAGAAACTCTGTTTCTACTAAAAATGCAAAATTAGCCAGGCTTCGTAGCACATGCCTATAATCCCAGCTACTTGGGAAGCTGAGGCAGGAGAATCACTTGAACCCAGGAGGCAGGGGTTGCAGTGAGCCAAGATTGTGCCATTGCACTCCAGCCTGGTCAACAAGAGTGAAACTCTGTCTCAAAAAAAAAGAAAAGAAAAAAAATATCATTGCACAATAACTTCAGAAACAGCTTATTCAGCAGCTTAACAATGTAAGGACTCAGTTTTTTGCATCTCACAGCCCTAATATCCTGGATGCCTTTACCCTCAAGCTGACAGCAAATGGCTTTAACAGTGCTAGGTCGCACAACTCTACACAATGTCCAGAAGAAAAAAAAACCTTCTCTTCTCACTGTTCTCTCAGCAGTGAGGAGTCTTCCTAGTTACCTACTTCTAGACTTTCCTTCCTCACATGTAATTTGGGTTACAAACCCATTCCTGAACCACTGTTAGTTAGAACAGAAAGTCTATTGCCCATGCCAATCAGATGCACTCCGAGAGCTGAGGATGGGGCCAGCTTCATCTCAGGCATGACACATATCTCAAGAAAGTCAGTATAGTCATGTGTCACTTAATGACAGGAATATGCTCTGACAGGAACATCACAGATGGTACTTACACAATCAGAGATGGTATATATATATATATATATATATATACATACATACATACATACATACATACCTAGGCTATATGGTTTAGCCTACTGCTCCTGGACTACAAATCTCGACAGCATGTTACTGTACTAAATACTGTAGGCAATGGTAACACAATAGTTTTTGTTGTTTTTTTTTTTGAGACAGAGTCTCACTCTGTCGCCAGGCACCAGGCTGGAGTGCAGTGGCACGATCTTGATTCACTGCAATCTCCACCTCCTGAGTTCAAGCAATTCTCCTGCCTCAGCCTCCCGAGTAGCTGGGACTAGAGGCGCGCACCACCATGCCCATCCTGACCAACATGGTGAAACCCCATCTCTACTAAAAAAACAAACAAAAAAAACCAATAGTATTTTTATATCTAAACATCTGAACAACATAGATACAGTAAAAAATATAGTATTATAACCTGGGACTACATATCGTCATATATGCGATCCACCGTTGACCAAAACGTTATTATGCATTCCATGTCTATACTCTGGTAGGCAGGAAAGAAGAACAGATGCTGAGAAAGAAAAACAGCCAACAGCATCCACCAAAAGCAGATAGCAACAAAAGAAGGGAGGCTGAAGGGAAGTTGTTAGAGACTTTCACAGAGCACCAACAAACAGGCTGGCTGAAACAAAGTGTTATATGAGGAATTAATAGGAGGTACAACCTGAAGAATCAAGTAGTTACAAATCTACCAACTATATAGGTCATCTCTAGAGAGACTGCCAAATCTAGAACACCCCAGACCTACAGAATCAGAATCTCTAGGGCAGCGCTGTCCAGTAAAACTTTCCATGAGGCTGGAAATATTCTATATTGGCACTGTCCAATGAGTAGGTAAAGAACTTAATGTTCACTTTTATTTAACTCCCTGAAATTTAAATTTCCTTTTTTTCTTTCTTTTTTTATTTTTATTTTTTTGAGACGGAGTTTCACTCTTGTGCCCAGCTGGAGTGCAATGGTGTGATCTTGGCTCACTGCAACCTCCGCTTCCTGGGTTCAAGAGATTCTCCTCCCTCAGTCTCCCTGTAGCTGGTCCTACAGGCACCCACCACTGCAACCAGCTAATTCTTTGTATTTTTTTAGTAGAGATGGGGGTTTCACCATGTTGGCCATAGTGGTCTCGAACTACTGACCTCAGGTGATCCACCCACCTCAGCCTCCCAAAATACAGGCATGAGCAACTGTACCCAGCCTAAATTTAAATTTATATAGCCACATTAGTTTATGTAAATAAGACAGCCAAGCTCTAGAAGAGTCACAAAACGTATATAATTCTGATATGCAGTTGGTTCCACTGATCAAACCAACATTTGCCCAACATATTCACAAGGACAAAATGAAAAACAATCACGTCTTACTACAATCCAAACAGTTACAGGATTTCCTTCTTCTATCTCAAAAAAAGGAAATGTTATTCTGACAAGACTTGGTTTTTTCATTTTCTTTTTGTTTTAGAGACAGGGTCTCATTCTGTCAGCTAGGCTGAAGTACAGTGGTGTGGTCATAGCTCACTGCAGCCTCTAACTCCTGGGCTCAAGCAATCATCCCACCTCAGCGTCCCAAGTAGCTGCGACTACAGTTGCACACCACCACACCCAGCTGTAAGACTTGTTTGTTCTCAATGAATCCATGTTGCTCCTTGTTATCGCTACAAAAGCATTCAGACCATCTGTTTAATAAATTCTCAAAGACTTTTTCCAGAAATTAAGGTCAAGTTAACCAGTCTAAAGTTTGTAGAAATATTCCTTCTTTATCACACGTATTTTGGAAGATCATGGAACACCACATATTCTACTTTTAATGCCTTTTTAATCTTCTATTTATTGTTATATTTGTTTTGGGGGTTTGTTTGTTTTGCTATTTTTTGTTTGGATGTAAGTTTAGTCCCTTTTTTCTTTTGATGAGATCACCTTTATAATTGAGCATATTTAAACCTCAGTGTCGGCCAAGCACAGTGGCTCATGCCTGTAATCCCGGCACTTTGAGAGGCCAAGACAGGTGGATCACTTGAGGTCAGGCGTTCTAGACCAACATAGTGAAACCCCATCTCTACAAAGAATACAAAAAAAATTAGCTGTGCATAGTGGCACGTGCCTGCAGTCCCAGCTACTCAGGAGGCCAAGGCCGGAGAATTGCTTGAACCCAGGAGGTGAAGGTACATATATAAAGAATGTGTGATTTGAGACTATTTATAAAAGCTTATCATATACATAATTTTTTTGCATTTAATTTACTAGCATGTGACACCACCCTTACTGTTTTAAATTCTATCTCTACGTTACCTCTATTCCTGTTTAATTGCCCTTCCTTCCTCTACCATTGATCTCCTTGTGATATAACAGATACATCTAAGGTATCATTTTATAGTTCTAACCAAATATTATTCTATTTTTTCCCCTCCATTTGCAATATAAAGAATTCTTGATCAAACTGACCTGGGTAATTACCTTTCTGATTTACTTTAGCTACAAGCCCATAATTCGAAGTATCTTAAGGTGAAATTTAGTGCAGAGTTGGCAAATTCTACATATGCAGCTTATGGCAGTTAGCACTATTTTCTGCCATGCCCAGACACAGCTCCTTAATACAGATTCTAAGCAACCATTTTCTAGACATCTCAGTCTCACTACCACTTACAGGAACCAGCTAAGCTGCTAAATTTAATAAGTATTACCAAGTTTTCTGCCATGGTTACATAATCTAAGACAGCACACTTCTTTATTAACCATGTCAAGTCCAAATGCTTATTTTAAAATAAATGGAAATAAGAGCTATTATATTTCAGGGTATCAAGAAAATCTTTTAATAGTTCAAACTGACTGCCGAGTTTCAAAATTTAAGTTACAGCATGTTTATTTTTCAAAACAACACTCAGAGCTAAAAGTATACAAATCTAACCTGTCAATTGAAAGCATTACCTCCAGGGCTGTTTGCTTTTGTAGGTTTTGTATCACATTCATAGTCTTATTCACAGTTGCACAAATGCGGTTCTTAGTCTCTTTCTGCTCAACAGCAACTGGTTTAAAGCGTGCATATAAAGTTTGATATCGAGACTTTATCGCTGACAATTCCTTTAAGAGTGTAACTGGATTTTTCTATGTCAGGAAAAAAGTTAGCATGCATTAAATTATGGAAATGAAAGATTAAGCTTCTTTTTAGGAATTAAAATAATGTACATACAATACATTCTACCATCCATTTAATTGAACACTGTTGAGTAGTTAATTATGCAGCCACGTGACATCAGAAGGGAGGTGGAGAAAAGTATAAGACCTAGATCCTATTCTCAAGGAATTTATAGCCTAGGTACAGAAATAACCCACCAAAAGAATCAGCAATATTAAACAGAAAATAAGGTTACCTTAGATATATAACATTTGATGCATAGTCCACAATAATTAATTATACAATATTTCTAAAATATAATTCTAAATGCTATTCAGAAGAAGATAAAAGACACTATTTGGACTTGTTCTTAAAGAATAAGACAACTTGAAACTACTTATAAAATACTTTTTTTGTGAGACTGAATTTCGCTCTTGTTGCCCAGGCTGGAGTGCAATGGTGCAATTTCACAATCTCGGCTCACTGAAACCTCCGCCTCCCGGGTTCAAGCGATTCTCCTGCCTTAGCCTCCTGAGTAGCTGGGATTACAGGTGCCCACCATCACACCCGGTTAATCTTGTATTTTTAGTAGAGGCCAGATTTCTCCATGGTGGTCAGACTGGTCTTGAACTCCCGACTTCAGGTGATCCACCTGCCTCAGCCTCCCAAGGTGCTGGGATTACAGGCGTGAGCTATCATGCTACCAAGCGCCCAGCTCTTTTTTGTTGAGATGGAGTCTTGTTCTGTCACTCAGGCTGGAGTGCAATGGTGTGATCTTGCCTCACTGCAACCTTCACCTCCTGGATTCAAGCAATTCTCCTGTCTCAGCCTCCTATAATCCCAGAGTAGATGGGATTATAGGCACATGCCACCACGCCCAGCTAATTTTTGTATTTTTAGCAGAGATGGGGTCTCCACACATTGGCCATGCTGGTCTTATACTCCTGACCTCAGATGATCCGCCTGCCTCAGCTCCCCAAAGTGCTAGGATTATAGCCATGTGCCACCAGGCCTGGCCCACAATTTCTTTTTTTTAAACTGAGAATGTAAAATACTTTAGATGCCTTAGAAAACAGTTTGGCATTGATCCTGACTGTGACAAAAAAAAAATTAAAAGTAGAAAAAAATAGAAAACAGTTTGACAGTTCCTCAGAATATTAAACATGAGTTACAATATGGCCAGGAATTCTACTCCAAGGTATATAACCAAGAGAAAGGAAAACATGTGTCCACACAAAAACTTCTAAATGTATGTACATAGCAGCATTATTCATAGCAACCAAAAGATGAAAACAACACAAATAACCACCAACTGATGACTGGATAAGAAAATGGAGTATAGGTTTGTAATCCTAACACTTTGGGAGGAGGCCTGAGGCAGGCGGATTACAAGGTCAGGAGTTCGAGACCAGCCTATCCAATATGGTGAAACCCTGTTTCTACTAAAACACACAAAAATTAGCCAGGCATGGTGGTGCACGCCTGTAGTTCCAGCTACTCGAGTGGTGGAGGCAGGAGAATCACTTGAAACCGGGAGGCAAAGGTTGCAGTGAGCCAAGATTGTGCCACTGCATTCCAGCTTGGGTGACAGAGTGAGACTGGGCCTGGTGGCGCGTGCCTGTAGTCCCAGTTCCTCGGGAGGCTGAGGCAAGAGAATCACTTGAACCTGGGAGGCGGAGGTTACAGTAAGCCGAGATGGCACTGCTGCACTCCAACCTGGTGACACAGCAAGACCCTGTCTCAAAAAAAAAAAAAAAAACAAAAAAAAACTGACTCTCAACCAGTCTTAAAACTGAAAAGAACAGATATTACACTTGATCTTAGCCAAAAGGCCAAGAAACAATATCACACCAGTCTTTAAGTTAAAAGGAAGGAAGGAAGGGAGGCAGGGGGAGGAAAGGGAAGGAATGAAGGAAACGGAAAAGAAGGGAGGAAAGAAAGGAAGAAAAGGAAGGAAGGGGCTGGGCAAGGTGGCTCTCACGCCTGTAGAAGGCTGAGGCGTGTTGCTCACTTGAGGTCAGGAGGTAGAGACCACCCTGACCAAGAAGGTAAAATCCCATCTCTACTAAAAAATACCAAAATTAGCCAGGCGTGGGGCATGCACCTGTAATCCCAGCTACTTGGAAGGCTGAGGCAGGAGAATCACTTGAACCCAGGAGGGAGAGGTTACAGTGAGCTGAGATCACACCACTGCACTCTAGCCTGGGCAACAGAGTGAGACTCTGTCTCAAAAAAAAAAAAAAGAAAAAGAAAAAAGAATAGGGAGTAGAATTCTAGCATTCTATGAAGTAAACAGTAAAAACTGAACATTCATGAAATTTTCCCAATTTTTTATAAAATGTTAGGTTAACTTGTACTTCTACCCAATCCAAAAAAAAGTTTTTAATTGTATGGGTCTTTTTTTTTTTTTAGCTGTTAAATGCAGTATTTCTTGTTTGCTGGCAAGTGCTATCAAAGATAAATACTGGTCAGGCATGGTGGCTCATGCCTATAATCCCAATACTTTGGGAGATTGAGGCGACAGATCACTTGAGGTCAGGAGTTTGAAACCAGCCTAGACAACATGGTGAAACCCTGTCTCTACTAAAAATAAATAATTTTTTAAAAGGCTGGGCATGGTGGCGAACACCTGTAATCCCAGCACTTTTGGAGGCTGAGGCGGGCAGATCACAAAATCAAGAGATCGACACCATCCTGGCCAACATGGTGAAACCCTGTCTCTACTAAAAATGCAAAAATTAGCTGGGCATGGTATTGCATGCCTGTAGGCCCAGCTACTTGGGAGGCTAAGGCAGGAGAATCGCTTGAACCCAGGCTCAAACCCAGGAGACGGAGGTTGCAGTGAGCTGAGATCGTGCCACTGCACTCCAGCCTGGTGAAAGAGCAAGACTCCGTCTCAAAAAAAAAAATTATCTGGGCATCATGGTGCACACCTGCAATCCCAGCTACTCATGAGACTGAGGTAGGAGAATCGCTTGAACACAAGAAGTGGAGGTTGCGGTGAACTGAGATTGTGCCACTGCACTCTAACCTGGGTGACAGAGTGATCCATCTCAAAAAAAAAAGATAAATATTAATTAAGCCTGATACCTGAGTTTTGGGGAAAAAAACATTATTGATTTAGTGATTTTAGTGTTAATTAGCATTAACAGACAATGCTTGGAGATTGTTTGCTTTCATCCCCATGGACATGTATGTATACTTATACTTAATGATTTTATGGTATAAAGCAGAGTTAACGTTTCTAATCAGCTAAACTTAGAATAATTAAATACATAGTTTTATGTAGAAATCACCATTCATAAAATATAAATAAAAAATTTAATAGTATATCATTATCTTCTCAGAGAATACAATGACTGCCAAGACTTCTCCCTCAAACTTATTGCAGAACAGTTGCCCTAGAGGTAACTATATTCTCTCTTGGAATTTCAGAGGCTTCCACAGTGGCTTGTGCCTTTGAACTCAATGATTATTTTTTAAAGGTTGGGGAAAAAAATAGCCAGAAATTTCACATACTATTGGCACTCTCTCTCCAGTATGCCATAACCAAACTTCCAATGTAATTACAAGATTTTAAGATTCTATAAACTTAGTACTTAATAATGTAATTCATATGACCTATTACTATTAGGAATGTTATCATAAAATTCTAAAGTATTCAGTTAAGGCTGCTTTAAAAAAAAAAAAAAGCTTATTTATTTTGGAGATTACCTCGCCAGCTGAATCAGGATGATTAGTCTTGATTTCATATTCCAGCCTGTATTGAATGTAATCCAGATCAGACTCAGCTTTCTGGAACTAAAGATTAGCACAAATCATAATTGTGTAAACCAAAAGACTAATAGTAAACATAATACTTTATTCTTTTTTTCTCTTTACATTTGTTAGTATTTCAATAATAAGTGATAGACACTCATTTGAAAATGTGGAAATAAAAAGTATATAAAATATTCATTATCCATAATAACTACGCTCTATTAAAAATTTTAAAACTAAGGCTGGGCGTGGTGGCTCACGCCTGTAATCCCAGCACTTTGGGAGGCTGAGGTGGGCGGATCACTTGAGGTCAGAAGTTTGAGACCAGCCTGGTCAACGTGATGAAACTCCATCTCTACTAAAAACACAAAAAAATTAGCCCAGCATGATGACACATACTTGTAGTCCCAGCTACTTGGGAGGCTGAGGCAGGAGAAATGATTGAACCCCGGATGGGGAGGTTGCAGTGAACCTACATTCCATGCTGGGTGACAGAGTGAGACTCTGTCTCAAAAATAAATAAATAAATAAAAATTAGTTAACATTTTAAAGTCATTTCTCTATACCTCTCTCTTATATTTTGAGCCAAAGTCAAGATACTGAGTAGCCATTGTCAGATATTAATACCAAAAACTAATAATGACTTCAAGAATTCCCTAGGGTTATTGATACTCTCATCAGTTAGGCAGTGTTTTTCTTCCTTTTTTTTTTAAGACGAGGTTTCACCATGTTGGTCAGGCTGGTCTTGAACTCGCCACCTCAGGTGATCTGCCCACTTTGGCCTCCAAAGTGCTTGGATTACAGGTGTGAACCACCACGCCCAGCCGGCAGTGTTTTTCTATATCTGGCAGAAAATATAGTTTCAAGTTAAAACACAGAACAAATCTATTTCAGGAATATTCACATTGTTACCTTTATTAACAATCCCATTGATCAAAGAGTTACAGCTATGTGCCACCAAAATTAAGAGGGCTTAAAGAGTCACAAACTTCTTAAGAAAAGCTACATATGGTATAGGAGTAACAGTTTAAATAACCCCAATTTACTGAATCTGGGTGCCAGCATGGGAACTTGATCTGTAGCAAACCTCCAAGGAAGAAAAAAGGGGAGAACTGCTACCCTGAGGCCATTATGGACATAGGATGCCTGAATCAAAGCGAAAAGTTACATTTAAAAATATCAGTATTGGAGTGGCCCAGTGGCTCACGCCTGTAATCCCAGAACTGTGTGAAGCTGAGGTAGGCAGATCACCTGAGGTCAGGAGTTCAAGACCAGACTGGCCAACACAGCGAAACCACTTCTACTAAAAATACAAAAATCAGCCAGGTATGGTGACATGGGCCTAGTAATCCCAGCTACTTGGGAGGGTGGGCACAGTGGCATGTGACTGTGGTCCCAGCTATTTGGGTAGCTGGGGCACTAGAATCAGTTGAACCAAGGAGGCAGAAGTTGCAATGAGCCAAGATCGGCCACTGCAGTCCTGCCTGGGTTGCAATGAGCCACGATCAGCCACTGCACTCCTGCCTGAGTGACAAAGCAAAACTCTATTTCATAAATAAATAAATAAATACCAATATTTGGAATACCATGTTATTACTGAAAATGATGGTATACAAAACAACACTTAAGGGAAGGCTTTCGTATTTCATTCTATGTATTTCTGTAGTACTTTAATAAGCAGTTATTTAACCTTTTAAAAGGCCCGTTTTTTTTGTTTTTTTGTTTTTTTTTTTTTTTGAGACGGAATTTTGCTCTTGTTACCCAGGCTGGAGTGCAATGGTGCGACCTCGGCTCACCGCAACCTCCGCCTCCTGGGTTCAGGCAATTCTCCTGCCTCAGCCTCCCCAGTAGCTGGGATTACAGGCATGCGCCACCGTGCACAGCTAATTTTTTGTATTTTTAGTAGAGACAGGGTTTCACCATGTTGACCAGGATGGTCTCGATCTCTTGACCTCGTGATTCACCCGCCTCGGCCTCCCAAAGTGCTGGGATTACAGGCTTGAGCCACCGCACCTGGCCAAGGCCAGTGTTTTTTAAGATAATGTATAGACAGATGTGACATGACACTGTATTTATGACTCGTTAAATACAAAAACAGCCTTGAGAATGGCTTCTTTTTGTAAAAGAAATGTGTACATATAGAAAGTTGAGGAGGACATATGACATGTTAAAAAGAAGTTTTTCTTTTTTATGAGATAGGATATTGCTCTATAGCCCAGGCTGAAGTGTTGTGGCACCATCACAGCTCACTCCAGTGTCAAACTCCTGGGCTCATGGGATCTTCCCACCTCTTTCCCAGTGCACCAGGAACTACAGGCACATGCCATGACACCCAGCTAATTTTTTATTTTTTGTAGAGATAGGATCTCATTATGTTGCCCAGGCTAGGCTCAAGCAATCCTCCCACCTCAGCCTCCCAAAGTGCTGGGATTACAGGTGTGAGCCACCATGTCCAGCATAAAAGTGGTTTCTTTCTGCAAGTGGTATAATCAATGAATTATTCTTAACTTCTTGAAATTTTGCATCTTTTACAGGATCTTAAAGCATATATTGCCTTGAGTTCATCAAGGATATAACCATGGTTCTTAAGAGTTTACTACAGAAAGGAAAACATGATTTCCACACGCATGGTCTCCTATTCCTAGCTCAAAACACAGGAGACTGTTTGCAGGGAGGTTGCTGTTCTTCCTATGAACTTTATCACTGAACTAAAGATTGATTCTCAAAATTCTGAAGCCCTAGTGGAAGGGCAAACACTGTTAAAAGCAGTTCTGAAGTCTAATAAGAAATGATGTACAGTTATTTTTAGTATATAAAAGATACTATTAGAACCTTTCAAATTTAGAGTAAGACAAATGGCTGTCACAAGTTAAATGCTTATAAGGTCAGAAGGTATCATCATTGAATAGAATTTCAGAAATAAACTAGTTCCCATCACTAATAATTTTTCTCATCATTGACCTAAATTGGAATGGAAAACTCTGCAATGACCAAAATTCTATCTTTATAGCCAAAACTTGGGGGAGGAGGGTCAGGTACAGATAGAAGAAAGAGAAAGTTTTTGTTTTTAAATATATTTTCCAGGTCAATATCTGATTTCCATCTCTAACATCAGGGAGTTGCTCTAAGCCTGAAAAATTAATGTTGGGTACATAATTACAAAGTGTGTTTAAAATGATTTCCAAAAAGTGGAGGCTTTTCGTTTGTCCTATATACGTGCTAGATTAGATGTCATGATTAAATTAATCAATAATTACACTTCCTTAAAAATACTAATGTGTGTGTGTCTGTGTGTGTACTAAGATATTCTTACTGGCATAATTTATCATATTAGGATATACTTAGGGATTATCTTCTCCTATAAATAAGTACACTAACCCATCAAACACATGGATGGAGAGAATGAGGAAAAGCCAGGAGCAGAGGAAATCAAAGTTAACAAAGGCCGTAAGCACTCAAGGCCTGATTTCTTGTTTGTCTTAATCACTGAACAGACCACAATTCCATAGCTTTAGTCAATGAGTTACATAACATTCTTAAGCACAACTTTAAAGAAGAGTCTTTCAAGCTTGTTTTATTCATTTAATTCACCATAAATTAGGAATTTGTGGCTCCAGAAATTCCTCAGACAGAATCTTTATTCTAGGAGCCCTTAATATGTTTATGAAATAATTTTTTTACATATCTAAAAACTTGATATTTCAGTTCTGTTTGAAGTTTAGCACAATCTCCTGTAGTTCATTGAACAGTAACTTCTTTTTTTTTTTTAGACAGAGTCTTGCTCTGTCACCCAGGCTGAAGCGCAGTGGTGGTATCTCAACTCACTGCAACATCTGCCTCCTGGGTTTAAGCAATTCTCCCGCCTCAGCCTCCTGAGAGCTGGGACTACGGGCATAAATTGTCCTAAATTTGGCAAGTGAGAGCTCCAAGGTTTGGAAGATATTTATAATAATCGAATGTATATATCACAAAACATGATGAGTTTGGGGGACATAAAACTCTAAACTGTAGACTATATAATTATATACACATTATATATTTTATTTCATTTTCTTCTTTCTTTTCTTTTTTGAGATAGGGTCTCGCTCTGTCACACAGGCTAGAGTGCAATGGCAGCATCTCGGCTCACAGCAGCTTCCACCTCCCAGGCTCAAGCCATCCTCCCACTCCCACCTCAGCCTCCCAGCTAGCTGGGACTATAGGTACAAGCCACCATGCCCAGCTTAATTTTTGCATTTTTAGTAGAGACAGGCTTTCATCATGTTGGCCAGGCTGGTCTCGAACTCTTGACTTCGTGTGATCCGCCTGCCTTGGCCTCCCAAAGTGCTGGGATTACAGATGTGAGTCACCGGCCTGGCCTCTTTTCAAGAGAGTGGTTTTAGCTATGGTTTCCTGTAATACCTGGGGGTCAAAAATGTGTTAATCATCAAATAGTACCAAAAAGAAATGGTTTCTACTTTTAAATAACCTATATTTTAATATGATACCAAAGAGTACCCTTCTAATCAATGGTATGATGAAGTCAACTAAACTGTCAATTTTTTTTTTAAGAGGGAGTCTCTGGCCAGGCGCGGTGGTGGCTCAAGCCTGTAATCCCCCCAGCACTTTGGGAGGCCGAGGCGGGTGGATCACAAGGTCAAGAGATCGAGACCATCCTGGTCAACATGGTGAAACCCTCTCTACTAAAAACACAAAAAATTAGCTGGGCATGGTGGCGCGTTCCTGTAATCCCAGCTACTGGGGAGGCTGAGGCAGGAGAATTGCCTGAACCCAGGAGGCGGAGGTTGCGGTGAGCCGAGATCGTGCCATTGCACTCCAGCCTGGGTAACAAGAGTGAAACTCCGTCTCAAAAAAAATAAAATAAATAAAAGAGGGAGTCTCACTCTGTCCTCTATCATCCAGGCTGTAGATGCAGTGGCTCACTGCAACCTCCACCTGATGGGTTCAAGCAATTCTCCTGCCTCAGCCTCCCAAATACCTGAGATTACAGGCGCCCACCACTACACCAAGCTAATTTTTGTATTTTAGCAAAGATGGGGTTC